TATCCCAGAAATTAATTAGACATGCTGTTTTTTTTTTTTTTTAATTACTAATAATATTCTCAAGAGTTACTGAAAATTCAAGGCTTATGTTATATCATCCAGTTCACACACCTTACTTGTCTTTTGGGCAGGAGTAGAGGTTTATCCCTTGTTTCCTGTTTAGGATTGGATTTCTGGTTCCTTCTAAAGTCTTCTCATTCTCTTTCACATCTAGTAGCCCCTTTTGTCTTAGTGACATTATTGCCTTGCCTGGGGTGAATTGATTAAAAAAAAACAAATCATTAAAAAAATAATCCCCATTCTTCTCAAAGATGATGTGAAAAAGAAAATATCCTTTGATTATTAGGGTCAAAACAAAACTTATCAACTCATCTGAATTTAAAATAAAGTGTTGATTTACATTTGTATTCTGTCAGTGTTGCAGCAGTGACAGGGTACAGTGTCTTGATTGCAACTTCATTTCAACTTGGATGTGAACAGAAACAGAATGACAATTTATAGAAAAAATACAAAATATTAAAAAAAAAAAACCCAGAAAAAAACAAGGGAAAGGTGTAATATAAAAGAGGAAGAGGGTAAAATAAAAAAACGATTGACGATAATTTGATTAAAAGGGTAACTTTTTTCCCCTTTTTTAAAATACAAAACAGAAAAATAATTTTTTTTTAATGAAGTTGGGCGAGAAAAAGACTATGCTGTAGTCGCAATGGCTTGTGGGAAAAATGTTGGCAGGAAATTAAAATCAATTGTTATCAAAGAGTCAGTTGCAGCAATGTCTTAAGTGCTGATAATTTGAACTCGAATCTATTTGTTGATGCATTCGTTTGCTCACTCAATTGCTCTCTTTCAGAAGCCATCGTCTTTGTCTTGTTTTCCTTCCCTTTGCTCATTTACAACATGATTCTTTTGTTTGTTGGTTTGTTTTTTATTCTGGCAAGGAGGAATAAGGCAGGGGCGAAGAGTTTTGATTTTGTGTTGATTTTATGTTCTACATGACTGCGGTTTCCAGATTCTGGTATAAAACAATTGCATATTCATCAAATTCCTACACATACACCTCTTTCACAAAGAGACATTTACTTTTTAGTTTTAATTGCAGTAGGCAAACAATCGCTATGACTAAGCTCTGTGGAAAAGGTATTGCAGTGGGAGGGTTTAAGAGATTTCACATCTTTTAAATATAAGTTTTGATTGAGTCAATGTGTGTTAGGAAGCATGCAGAATATACATGCACAGATACACACACATATTAAAGAAAAATCCCAAATTGTTGGTGGAACCAACGTATATATATATATATATATATATGAATGTTACGATCTTTGTTTTTTAAAATTGTAAGCTGCATATGGTCTTTCTTAAATACACAAGTACTTTCAACTGTACATTCAGTCATCTTCATAGAAATTATTTTGTTTTTGGTCAAATATAATGTGAATCGAAATTTGTCTTTTTTAAAGGTGTTATTGATAATGGATACAAACTTTTGGAGCATGCAGTCACAATGCTAAGGTTGAATTTTTTGAAAATTTAAGAGAGTGTTGTTTACTAATATGGCAAAATAATTTCCATCTCTGAAGATGACTGAATGTACAGTCAAAAGAACATGCATATTTAAGAAAGACTTTATACAGCTTATAATTTTAAAAACCAAGGATATATATATATATATATATATATATATATATATATAAAAAATAAAGAAGTAATTATACAAAGAATTAATTAGCAATGTTAATGTGATTGATGGCAAAAATCTTTCACTAGCAATTAATAAGACTTAATGAGACATTAACTTAATTCTTTGAATAACACAATCCTTATATTTGAATTTTTGGACAGATGGAATAAATGATCCTGTTCCTAGTACTTTCGACAATTTCAAATTGTCATCTTCAGGGTGTAATATTTCCACTTACCGGTAAACTCCAAGACAAATATAGTGAAGGCTGAAAAATGTTTTTAAAATGTGCTATTTATTAACAGTTATATTATTTTAGAATGTGCGGTGTTGCAACGCTAGAGTTCTTCTATAAAGGATTCAAGTGAGGAACAAAAAAAAAACAAGATATTCACTTGAATCATTTAAACAAGGACTCTAGCTAGAAATATTATGATAAAAACAAGCAGACATAATGTTTGTAATTTATTCAATCAAACATGTCTAAAAGTGAATTTGTTGCCTAACTACACATACACACACATACAGTGTGTCCATAAAGTTCGTGTGCACTTTAAAGTTAATTTTAAAAGTGCACACGAACTTTATGGAGTCCCTGTATATATATAGGAGGCACGGTGGAGCAGTGGATAACGGCTTCGATTGAGGAATCAGAGCCGAGGTTAATTCAGTCGAATCCATTACATTCACTTACGTGCTAATACCCTTGGGAAAGGTATGTATCCTCTTCATCTCCCTCCAGCTATGGGTAAAATAGCAGGACAGACTGGGTTCTATAGCCTTGGATGGCAACTGGTCTGGGAGAAGGACAACTCTGAATTCAAAACCTGCGGAGGGTCGTTTGGGAACCTTGTGGCATGCATTCAGTGCACCAGGTTTCTGTATTCGTCCCTCCAAAAAGTGTGGCTGGTCCTGCACGAGGCCTGCACCACTATAATCAAAATCTCATGTGCCGGTGTCAGGATGTCGGTTTCCTGGGGACTTATCGGCCTGACCCTCATATGTCGAACGTGACGGGAGAGTCGATTATATATATATATATATATATATATATATATATAATCAATAAAGTAATTACGGTTCAGTTGGTTTATTTTTCAATCAACTACAAAGTTTCACAGACATATCACTCATCAGGGTCAGATACATCTGATCAGATTTATTGACCTTGATGAATGGTGTGTCTAAAAAAACTTTGAAGTTGTTTGAAAGATAAGTCATTTGACTATTTATTAATTAGTATTTATTATGGAAGGAATAAAGAAACTAGTTGAATCATACCAGGTCTGTCTCTTTAATTTTATTGTTTTTTCTAATTTTTTCATATACATATATATATATATATATATATATATATATATATATATATATATATATATATATATATATATATATATATGGTGCGATGGATAAATTGTCATCTAAATTACACAAAAATGAAAAATAACATTTACCAAAAAATACAAAAATATCTTGAAATAATAAAGAGTAAATTTATTCACTAAGATTGCCATTGGACTTCAGAATCTCCTGCAACTCTTCTGGATGCTCTCCTTGTTTAAGTTGGTGAATGATCCCATAATTCTTGCCTTTAGTTTATCTTTGGTGTTACAAGGAGTTTTGTTAGTCTCTCGCTCAACTGTGCCCCCACACATAATAATCAAGGAGATTATCGTCTGGAGGTGTTAGGTGGACAGAGGTAAGGGGTGATGGTCACAGAAATTATCTGACAGCCATGACTGGGTTCTCCTGCTTGTGTGGCATGGTGTAGAGTTCTGTTGCCAGTCATAGGGGTTTCTAGCAATCACCCTCATCACCCAGGGCCGCACTACCTCTTCAAGGCCTCTGTTTTGAGTCTGAGGCCCTGGGGAAAAATTAATTGAGGCATAATGTTGCCATTACTAGTGATCACTGCAAACACCTTTGTAATCATCTCATCCAACTTTTTCTGAATCCTCTGCATTGTCCTCAGATTGACACCCAAACACTCTAAAACGTTTGTATTGTGTAGAATATTGGTTAGCTTGTAAGTGGTCTGACACACAAGCAGACTTCTACAAATTGGAGCTTCTGGTGTGAATGCCAAACATGACATTTCCAAATTTCTGGCAGAGTGAATTGTGTTATGGTGCTCTTTTTTCTCGCAGAGGGTGCCCAACTGACCCAACTATACTGTGCAGTCAACAAAATCAAAAACAAACAACACATATGAAGGAAATTAAAAAAATAAAATGGCGACAATTTATCCATCGCATCCATATATATTGGTTTGTCTCTTGAAGATGTATGTAAACGTGGCCTTCCACAGATTCCTTTTCTTTATTATCTTTGAATTGCTGTTACACCTTGGGAAAAATATATATATATATATATATATATATATATATATATTCTCAGTGTTTGGAACTCTTCCTTGCTTTCTTATGTGCCATTCATGCAAGGGTGATCATGTTTCTTTTTGATTCCTGATTGATTTGGCACAAGAATTCACACAATAGTCTGCCATTACCTTCTGCAATCTGTCCCGCTATTTAACCCATATCTGGTGGGAGAAGAGATGGCTTCATACCTTTTCCATACCTTTTTTAATTCAGCTTTCCAGTTTTCTCAGTTCAATCTGTTATCCATTATACCCCCATATATCTAAGCTTACAGCAACTGGTATTCGCAAGCACTCACCTATCTAAGTACAGACTAGGTTTGATGTTGCTTAACTCTGTCAGTCTTAATTCTATGTTTAGACAATTTAGAACCAGGACACCATGAAGATTTTCATTATCCATGCCAATTCACTGCATCTGTAACTGAAAAAAAAAACGGTAAAAATAAACAGAGCCTAAATAAAAGGCAATTTAAAAAAAAAAATTGCCATTGATCCATTTTAAGAGAGAGATAGGAAGTTATGGAACCAAGTACATTACAATATACATGTACAATCAATAAGATGGCATATATCAAGAGATTGGTAAGACAAGCATTTTAAGCCCTAACAAAACAGTTTTCTGTAGAACGATAATTACATATCAGCTACATAAGCCGAGAAGTTCTTGGCCCAACCCACTTCTCAAAATCGGACAAGGCTTCAAATTATTTTTGTCTTTTTTTCTTTTGATGGGCCAAAAATGTTTTATGCACTCTCTCTCTTGTATATGAAAGGTGCTGGAAAGTTTTTAGCCTTACCAAAAAGGGATTAAAAAGAAAACAAATTCTGATATTAGGAAATCGATGAAAACTAAGACTTTTCAGCACCCCCTTATATTAGTATTCAATGTGGAGAAATGACTACTCATATAATTTTCCATATTTTTATTCTCTGGGAATGTTTCATTTTCCCCTGCAAATTTCTTTTTCTTTTCTCTTATATTTTTTTTTTTTTGTATTCTATTCATTGCTTTTTTTTTTTCTTTTTTCTGAATTTATTTTTTATTTTTAATCTTTTTCCCAATTTTATATCTTGTCTATGAATTCCTGTCTACCATTTTACAATTTAATACCTCTCTACCCTTTTTAGTTTATTTTATGTTTGTTTCTTTTTCTTTTCTTTTTTTATTATTCTTTCTTTCTTTTCTTTTCATTTTTCTTTCTCTTTCTCTTTTTATTTCTCTTTCTCTTTTTCTGTTTCTTTTTCTTTTTCTTTCTCCTTTTTTTCTCCTTTCTCTTTCTCTTTCTCGTTCTCTTTCTCCTTTTTCTTTTTTCGTTTTCTTTCTCCTTTTTCTTTTCGTTTTCTTTCTCCATTTTCTTTTTTCCTTTTCTTTCTCCATTTTCTTTTTTCCTTTTCTTTCTCCATTTTCTTTTTTCCTTTTCTTTCTCCATTTTCTTTTTTCCTTTTCTTTCTCCATTTTCTTTTTTCGTTTTCTTTCTCCATTTTCTTTTTTCGTTTTCTTTCTCCTTTTTCCTTCACCTTTTTCTTTCTCCTTTTTCCTTCACCTTTTTCTTTCTCCTTTTTCCTTCACCTTTTTCTTTCTCCTTTTTCCTTCTCCTTTTTCCTTCACCTTTTTCTTTCCTCTATATTTTACACCTATTTCTTCTTTGTTTTATTCTACTACTTTATTCATGTTTTGACCTTTCCTCTCTCTCTCCTCCTTATTTGTCCATGCCTTTTTATTATTTCTTAGTTGTTTTAAGTATTTCTTCCCTTTTAAACATTGTTGACTCATTCCTAAATCCAACTAGTGATAGAGGAAATCAGTTGTTCTCTTTCCCTTTGCATTTTCTTCCTGACTTGTTCAATTGGCATATTCCCTGATCATACCATCTCAAATCCGTACCTGTTATTGATTCACCACAGCAAATATTAAATTAGCTTACCTTTTTAAATATTTAATCGCTGCTGTTGAAATTGTTCAAAAGAAAATAAACTATCTAGACTTCAACTCAATGGAAAGAAATCTCTCTTGCAGTGTTTGCCATCATTTCTGTTTGATTATACATGTCTCTGCTGAAAAAAAAAAACAACTCTTAATATTTAATGAAAAGAAAAAAAAATAAAGCATCTTGAAAATCAAGAAAGAAGATTAACAATTTTCCAGTGCAGATGTTGAGAAGATAAGAATAAAAAGAAAATAGAACAAAGATAAAAGAAAATATGTTTATGGAAAATGAAGGAGGTGAAAGAGAGTGAGTGAATGAAGGAGGTGTGAGTGAGTGAGTGAATGAAGGAGGTGTGAGTGAGTGAGTGAATGAAGGAGGTGAAAGAGAGTGAGTGAATGAAGGAGGTGTGAGTGAGTGAGTGAATGAAGGAGGTGAAAGAGAGTGAGTGAATGAATGAGGTGTGAGTGAGTGAGTGAATGAATGAGGTGTGAGTGAGTGAGTGAATGAATGAGGTGTGAGTGAGTGAGTGAATGAATGAGGTGTGAGTGAGTGAGTGAATGAATGAGGTGTGAGTGAGTGAGTGAATGAATGAGGTGTGAGGAGTGAGTGAATGAATGAGGTGTGGTGAGTGAGTGAATGAAGGAGGTGTGAGTGAGTGAATGAATGAGGTGAAAGAGAGTGAGTGAATGAAGGAAGGTGAAAGAGAGTGAGTGAGTGAATGAAGGAAGGAGGAAGACAAAAGGAAAAGAGGTGTACAGTAAATGAACAGTAAAAGAAAATCGCAGAAATCAAGAAAGAAAAATGGAAGAAAAAAATGAAAAAAAAATATGAAACTAAAAAAATGAAACTATGGAAGAAAATGAACAGGAAAGAAAAAATGGAATAAATGCACAAAAGAAATGAAAAGAAAAAAAATACTAACGAAAGCTGTAAATGAAGTGGAAAAGAAGTAACTCATAAAAATAAAATGAAAGAAAAAAAAAACAGAGAAAAATAATAATGAACATAAGAATAAAACAAAGGCAAAAAAGGAAGAAAAGAAAGAAAAATAAAATGGGCAAAAAGAAAGTGAAGAGAAAAGAAAGAAACAAACTAATGAATGAAGAAAAACTGGTAAACAAGAAAAGAAAAGGAAGCAACAAACCATAAATGAAATGAAGGAGAAAATGATAGAAAAAAATACCAGAAAACAAAATGAAGGAAACAGAAAGTGAAGAGAAAAGAAAGAATGAAACAAGTGAATGAATGAAGAAAAACTGGTAAAGAGAATGAAGGAACAAACCATAAATGAAATAAAATGAAAGAGAAAATGATGGAAAAAATACCAGAAAACAAAATGAAAGAAAAAGAAAATCTGAAATATAAAAAAAGAACAAGAGAGGAATAATTGAAAAGAAAAGAAAAAAAGATGGAAATAAGAAGAAAGAACAAAAAGGAAAAAACAAAGCTGAAAAAAAAATTGAATAAAACAGACACAAAAGCAAAGAAAATTCATTAAATAATAAAAAGAAAAAATAAATGGAACAACCCTACAGCAGATTAGCTTGCAATTAATGAATTTTTGTATTTTCTTGAGAAACAGTTTATCAGTGAGAAAAAGAAAAAAAAATTGTCAACAAAACCAAAAGATTTGATATTCTTGAAAATATCAGACAAATCTTTCAGCAGGTGTTACATCAATATTCTTTTTGATTCTTGTGTAACAAGAAATCTGTAAAATTGATAACTCGATTATTTTTCTTTTCTTTTGATAAACTTACTTGATCTGTATGTTTAAACAAAAGCACACAACGGCCCTTTGGCATGGGTCCCGAATTCACTCCACATCTCAAGAAGAACTCGTATATGAAAACCATTGCTAAAGATGCAAGAAAAATGTTTGGCTTAATCTAGTGTTCCAGAAAGTACCTGAACTTTCCATCACATTGTATTTTTGCAAGATAGAATCCAAAGAAGAATCAGCAATATTATTGGCCCTGATCTGGCATCTCAGTTTCAGTCACTTTCCCACTGTCATAAGGTTGCCTCCCTTTGCCTTTTCTATAAATACTTTCATGGTAATTGTTTGGATGACCTTGCTATGGTGCTTAGACTCTTTGAATTTAATCACAGTATTAGACTGGTGACTAAGTCTCAACCATTTACAGTTGAGATGTCTAGATGTGACCATAAATTCTATGCTAACAGTTTCTTTTCTCACACTTCCTGCTTGTGAATTCCCTTCTGACTCCATGCTTTTGAGCTAACTTTCATTTGTAAAAATTCTTAATTCCTGTTCTTTTATTGTTCTCTTTCTTATTTTTTATTCTTTTTATGTTTATTCTTTTCTCATGTTCCTTCGCAGTAACCCCTTACATCTTAGTGGCTTTATTGTCTTGTTTAGGATGAAATTATTTTAAAAATGTCTCCTTAAATTATCTGTGCTTTCCTAAGCACTCTCACCAACATCCTAACTACTCTTGCAGATTATGGAAAATCCCTTCCAGCTCTATGCTTTCCAGCCAACTTTAATCTGCAATGTCAATTGCCATCTACTGTCCTCCTAATTACTCTTCTTTTGTTCTTTCCCCTTAGCAATGTTCCTGTTTCTGATTCTTCCCCATGCAGCAACCCCTTGTAATTCAGTGGCTTTACTGCCTTTCATGACATGAACTCAATAAATGAAAAAAAAAACCAAAGAGAGTCTGATATCACTGCCATATATGCCATAGAAAGAAGGTACGGTGGAGTAATGGATAGTGACTCAGAGTGAGGAATCAGAGAGCCGAGTTCAAATTCCAATGGAATCCATTACATTCACTTAGGAGCTAATACCTTTGGGAAATGTATGAATCCTCCTCTTCTTCTCCCCCCAGCTATGGGTAGAAAGGACAGACTGGTTTCTATAGCCTTGGGTAGCAACTGGTCTAAGAGAAAACTCTGAATTCAAAACCTACCTGGAGACAAACTTAATGGACAGATAGGGGCTCTGAGGCCTTGCAAGGCAACCTATCTAGTGGAAGGTCACTCCAAAATATAACCTGCATCTTTGCACGTTGCTTATCTCGTAGTAGCCTTTGCACGAGAAAGCAGATGGCAAGCATTGGACAAGAGAATGGGATTAGAATGCACAAACCTTTCTCACTTAAATAAATTTCAGGTGCTGGTTATTCCACAACACTAAATGAATCTTCTACTCTCATGAAAGGACTCATTGGTAATGTGCCAATGAAATGCTCATGTGTTGGCTCACGACGCAAGAATCCATGCATGCATCTGCCATGGATCCTCTCAGGCTTTTTCTTTCCTGCTTTGATAGAGATTAAAATCATTTACTTGACAGCATCTTTTACATGGCTTCATCATCACAAGCCTATTGCTACTCTATTCATATTTCCATGGTAAATGTTCAGATAAGTTTGAATTTTTAATTCCACCAGTTCAGGCCTTCACAGCTAGGACATATCAGGTTACATCCACAGTCAATTTTCCCTCATTTACTCTATATTCAAAATGGAGGGTGGAAGTTTCATTCAGCTTTCTCCTCAAGAATTTCTACTTTGTGGAGCAGACTCCCGTGTGTATGCTTCCCAGAACACTACATTCTTAACCTCTTCATGTCAAGGGTCAACCATTATCTTCTTTATTTTCATAAGCTTCACTTCCTACCACATTTTTCATTCATATCACACACTTCATTTGTTATAGTCATTTTAACTGTAACCCTCTGCATTGAGTGGCTTTCTTCTTTAATAACTGTAAGCCATACATTGCAATGATTCTTCTTGGAAGAAAGAGTGAAGTAGGTTTCTCAATGCCTTCTCTCCTGTTTTTGAATTTAGAGCGTTCCTTGATTGAGACTGGTCAGAAACTGAGCTACAGAGACCAATTCTTTTCATATCAAAGGTGGGGAGAAACGATGGGTTCATACCATTAGGGTAAAATGAACACAGACGGTCTCAATCAGATTTTGAACTTGTTTCAAAGATTCAATTTTCGTTACTGTTCAAACTTAGGCTTTCACTCAGACTGCACATGCTTTTATAGACTTCCCCATATAGATGCACATATGTATACACATATAATTCAATATCCCTTAATGTTTGGATGCGTATATGTTTATATGTACAAATGTGTGTATACGTATAAGAGGAGACATAACCACAACATTCTACATGTACGAACATACACGCAGACAGGCGAACACATACACACTAAAAAAGAAAAAGAATCAATCTTGCGTCAGTGAAAAGTGCATGTATAAAAGAAAAACAAGGAATATAAACAGTCAATTGTTGATATCCCCTGAGGAGTGAATGGAGCGATTGTCAGAGGGTCCATCTATTAATTATTATGAGTTGGGATGCTGAAGGTAACACAAATCATTTAAGTGACAAACTTTATATTTTTATTAATTCTAATATATATATATATATATATATATATATATATATATATATATAGTTAGAAACCAATTGCTGCAATACAAAATATAAAAATAAAATGGTAAAAAAAAAATGTCTTATTGCCAAAGGATATGACCAAGGTTTCCACTCTGTTAGTGGTGCGTTCTTTCACAGGGTCAAATAAACATGAATTAGGAGAAGGAACCAATTGTAATGAACAAAATCACCAGAATAAGATTTAACAAGATTTAATTATACATTAGAACATAGAAAATATGTCTGTATGTAAAGATGTGTGCTGTGTATGCGATATGAAAAATCAAAAGAAACACTTAACTTTTGTCCATTGTCTGAAATAAGAAATGTTTTTCTTTTTTTTCTTTCCTACATTTCTCTGTTTTTATTCTTTTCTCTCAGTTCAGTCCTTTATTTTCAGAATCCCATGTTCAGGAATATCTTTTAAATTCTGATTCTCTTTCTTTACTGTTGCAAGTGATGGCTGTTTCTCTTTCATGTCTTCCGTAATATAAAATTTCTCTTTCACTTAGTATTATATAGGAATAATGTATCACTGGAGTTTGAACATAGATCACCAGACAGCAAACACAGGCAATCCCATTTTGAATAAGTAGATCACGTGATGGTAAAGGAAATGTATGTATGGGAATTAGCATGGTGTCTAATTGATCACTATTCCTATACTATCATATATTACTATACAGATCACTATTCACTATACTGATCACTACACAGATTACTATTCAGTGCTTACTTTTCGAGTGAGTATTATCGAGCAAGTACTATTATTGCGACTGTTATTCAAAGGTGTCTAGTATTGTTCAACAGTGTTACTATAGTTGTATCTGTGATTGCAAAGTCTCTACTACTACTACTACTACAAGCATTACAAAAGAGGCAATGAGTGTTCACTGACATTACAAAAGTTAGGAAGATTTGGTCCCATGTTGACCATCGCTTTCTCCAATGTGATAATTGGATAAATCACACATGCTTTTTTCCTGTGAGGATTAACACATTGAGTAATTCACTATTGCATTTTGGTCTAGGATTATTTTGTCTACAAATTATAGGTCCACATGCGGCATAATATATGTGAGTTAGAACTAGGCTTTGGTCTCTTTATTATGCAATCCCAAAGTAGTTGACAATAACAAAAGAAACATTGTTGATCACACAAGCTCTTCAACCCAACTGTTTCTTCAGATATTTTTCCCGCTCAACTTTTCATATTAGATCACATGATTCGACACATATGTGAGATGCTATTTTTAGATCCCACCCAATTTTGTTTCTAGGATCAGTCATTTGGTTGCCGAACAGTTCATTTGACTGCTGACTTTAACAAGTTGATAGAGAGACAGAGTGGGTTAATGTGACAGTTAGAGAAAGAACGAAAGAGAGATGGTTTACTATAGGTGTAAAGTGTATTGAAGGTTAAGCAGTTGGTTGTGTGGTAATGTAACAATATATATATATATATATATATATATATATATATAAAGATCATTTATTGCAACAACCAAGCTACAGACTGCTTTGGAAATCTCTATTATCAGCTGTTGAATGCCAGAGGAATTTCGTTTGTAAATAAAACTCTCCTCTTTGGTTTTGAAGCCAGAAGTCCCTACCAGAACCATATTCACCAGCTTGATGTCTTCCATAAGTAGTGTCTTTGTACAATCTGTGGCCATAATCAAGAACACATGATGTCTAGTATTAATCTGTTTTCAGAGTGTGACGAGGCTTATCCCATAGCACATTGAAACACTGGTTCTCATACAATCACTGAAGTTAAGCAACTTTATACCAAGTCAGTACCTAGATGGGTGACCACTTGAAAAATACCAGGTGCTGTAACCTTTAATGTGTGAGTAGTGTAATGGATAATAGTTCGAAATTGGACATTGGAGAACAATTTGGCTATTTTACCATTTGCATTATGGGTATATTTTCCCCCACGGTGATTTTAGTTGGTGAGGGCATTATGTGGACACCAGCTACCTTTCCTAAAACATCTTAGATCTTCCAGATGGGTCTAAGTTCCCATATGATCAAAACACTAATACCAGCCACAAGATGATTATGGGCAATAGTGTGTATGATACTGGTACTCATGGCCAGTTAGATGAACACTTTTTTTTTTTTAATCATTTCATGCAAAGCAAGGCAATAAAGCCACTAAGATACAAGGGGTTACTGGGGATAAGAGAATATGAAAAAAAGAAAAATATTAAGAAACGTAAGAAAAGGAACTTAGACAAGAATTAGAAAACATTATGAAGGAGTGAGAACAATAGAAGAGTAATCAGGAAAGCAGTAGATAACAAATGATATTGCATTTAAAATTTTTAAAGCTCAAAGTTAACTGGAAAGCAGAAACCAGAAGAGAGTCCCAAAAGCAAGACATGCAATAGATTTTTTTTTTTTAAATTTGACTGGGAAGCAAGAAACCAGAAGAGTGTTCCACAAGCGAGAAGTGCAAGACAAGAAACTTTTAGCATGGAACTTACATTTAGCCAATTCAGCTGTAAAATGATGATACATTGCTACCAAACTAGTAGCACACATAAGTTCATGAAGGTACCTTAGAGGAAAGTTCATCAGAATAATTACCATGAAAATATTAATAGAAAATGCACTGGTAAACTCTGTTATAATGGTGGGAATGTGAAACCTGATCTGCCATCTTTTCACTTAGTGTTATCTGAATTTTCTCTAGTTTTTACTACAGGCACCAGTGCAAAATATCCAACTGAATTAGTTATCAATGTGGTTCATGTCTGTTACTTTGATTTGATTATCATAGATTTTTTTTCCCCTTGATACAGATGAATTGATAAAAGAAGACAGTTTTCTGATTACTTACCCATCATCTTTGACCCCGGGTTAAATCTATAACTTGATTAGTTATTATGCTTACATTATGCACATGTAGATATGTAATTAATAGATGGGAAAGATTCAGATTCAGAAGTAGAGAGAAATTGTCTAGATTAAAGATGCAAATATGCACTTATATTTTATACATGTATATATATATATATATATATATTCCGGAAAATACTTGTTGAAAACACAACTATACTTAAACATGAAAACAATAAACAAAACTAAAAATTCTTGAAGCTATATACATAAAACAGTTGAAACCTAACCTGCACAAAATAAACTATGAAATCTCCACAAATATTCTTAAATGCCTATAATTGGTAACAGAAGCCATTGGTTTATACCAACAGCTTCCCATATTTAATACTTCTTGAATTCACTCTTGCGTGTTTATGTGTGACGTCATGAGCTGCAGTGGGATTTTCGCTTCCAGCGTCTTATATGCACGAGTTTGTCATTGCTTGGAAATCATCCATGTAAACAGAAACAGACTATCATCACATTCTTGTCCATGTATTGCTTAATATATTGTACAGTAATTGTCATCTTTGATAATGGCTTATGTAAGCCGAAAGCTTAGATTGGATTAAAAAATATGCATCAATATTGTGATTTTCTTTCTTCGTTTAATGATAATGTTAGTAAGCTTATTAGACAATATGGAAAGAATTTACATAAGATAAACAGACAACGCTTGTCTATATTATATAATGAAATATATAAGTGCAATTTTCATAAAAGTAATCTTGAAGCATTATCTTCCATCCTAAACTTACAGCATATGTAGATTATGTGGTAATTTTGCACTTTCGAGAATAGGTCTTCAAAGTCACCTAAGGTCTCATCACGCTTGATATATTGAAAGAAGCCAAAATCAATCAGTGTACTTTCTTGTAGACTCTGCCATAAAGTATGCAAGTCAGATTATGGAATAACAAGACACATGAAAAATTACATTGATGCTGTGTTTGTTGGGCTTAGGGATTTCCATTTCAGGTGCAACATTTGTGCAAAAGCTTGTAAAAGTAAAGCTGGTTTAAAATGTCATCTGCACTCATTATCAGTGAGTCTGAAAGTTAAAAAGAAAAAGAAAAAAAAAGAAATTATATTATGTAGGGTGACAAAACTTTCAGAGCACCCTGTACATTCAATACATTTTGGAGGCTATGACTATTTGGCACTTCTTTTTTTTATTTTGTGTATTTCCTTAATATGGATCTTTTACATTTAACTGGATGTTTTCAGAATATAATCAGAAAAAAAAATTAAAAAAAGGGGAGATACAGAGTGGTTCAAAAGTATTGTATAGTTGACACAAGCTCCTTCCAGAGGTGGGGATGACAAGACTTTCGCCCCCCCCCATATATATATATATATATATATATATATATATATATATATATGAAAATTCACATTGATGGCATGCCTGCTGAGCTTAGGGATCTCCCTTTCAGGTGCAACATTTGCACAAAAGCTTGTAAAAGTAAGACTGATTTAAAAAGTTATCTGCACTCTCATTATCGGTGAGTCTGAAAGTGAGTAAAAAAAAAAATAAAAATTTGTTGTGGAGATGGTCTTCTTCTGTCAGGAAGTAAAAATCATTTATATATATATATATATATATATAATGTAATGTGTGTGTATGTGTGCACATGTCTCTCTGCATAAATATGTGAGGGGTGCTCTGAAACTAATGCCATGGAAGCAATCCCA